ACCTGAAGAGAAACAACATTTCCCGACAAACACTTACCCCGGGGTGAAGTCCTGTGCAGCGGCTGGGGATCCACTGCAAAGGTACCAAACCACACTTCGTGTAGGTGTCACCGAAGCAAACCACTACTTCTTCCAACACTGTAATTTCAAAGGCAGATTTCAACACCTGTATATCTTTTGATGGCGCTACCACCACCCCAACTTCACGTCAAAAAGTTTCCTTTGGCAGAGAAAAAGCAGGTCTGAACAGATCAGTTACAACTCCTCAACGCTGAGGTACCAAACCAGTGTAGTGTCTGTGTAGGCTCTCAGTGACAGGACATGTGTGTTTGTGCACATACCTTCTATTCTAACATTTTGAAGATTATGCTGAAGTATTTTGCATCCCCAGAAATGCCACGCCTATGAGATAGAACAGTAAACGCTACTGGGCCACAGGATAATCACTTAAGAGTATGTTTATAATGTAAAGGTCTACATTTTGCAGATTTTTTTCAATCAGTTTAAACTGAAGTAGCGTCTGTTCTACACAAATGTTAAAGCTTTCACTTCCTTGTAACAGTAAAGATTTGGGTGCTTCGTTAAAATTTTGATTCCCACACTGTGTATAGGTGTACACTGCAGACAGCATGGGAACATAACTTCCAAGTTTCTCTAACCTTCACAAAAAGAAAGCAACAACTAGTGTATTTACAACCGGATTTGAATAGAATATAAAAATTACCTACACCAGCTTCTCAAATCCACAGAAAGCAAGACAATCCAAAAATGAAGTGTATTAGGAGGAATTCTGTACCCATGAAGAAACTGTCATTATTCGCTGTGCAATTATCACACAGGTGTACTCACAGATAAAATGCACTTCTAATGCTAAACCTTTATTCTGGTGACTACAGAGGTACTTGGGTAGTGTTTGTCCAAACGGTTCGGTGTTTCTTAGAATCCCTGCCACACATTTTGAAAAGACTTGTTCTCTTCTCTGGGAGGAAGCCAGAGAGATCAACAAAAGTTCTCATAACTGGGCTTTCATATCTAATTATTTGTTCAAATAGTAATATAACCCCTTTCAAAATTTTTTAAAAACTGTATTCCTTTCAACAAGCTGGAAAGGTAATAAATGCATGAAAATCCCTCACAACGTGCTGGGTAAAGCTGGTTCAGAAATAGCTACCAGGCGTACTTGCGGCTTGCAATGCCGCCTGAGCACACTGTGCACGAGGGCACCCCCAGCACCCACTGGTGTGACGGGTCACCCAGACACAAACCCTCCATCATGACCAAGTGCTGTTTGCAACCAGTAGCAGTGACTCTTGTTCTGCACTACGAGTCGTCTTCAGAGTTTAATGACAAACCTCTGAGGTTTTTTCCTTAAGATCCTTTTAATCTCCTCCTTGCAGTGCCACTGAGCTGACACGTCAGACATTGAACCTCATCGTATGCAGAACACACACCTGTATCTGTTATCGTTCCCCTTAACACCGAACAGCCGCAGTGGTCTCCGTGTGTATAAACGGCCATGCAGATACATTCCAGTCAGAGGGAGGCCACCACAGTGAATGAGAGGAGCGTGTGTCTCAGGGACGTGAGGAGGGA